GAAGCAAGCATACAAAACACAAGGAGAGGGGGTGACCCTCTCCTATTTGGGACCTCAAAACACCATTTCCACCACTGAAATTCCTCTGAGTTTCAGTGGTGAGAAGGCCAAAACAAGGTGGTCCCAATAGCTTAAAAGGATGGTACAAACAAAGCCAAACAAGGCCTAAGAGGGGGTGGACTACCCCCAACACAAAAGAGACCTAAACAAACATGTTAAGCATGCAAAATCAGAACTTTTTGTAGTTTAAAGTCAAGCCAAAATAAGCATGCAAATAGGTCCAAAAGCTTAAACCAAAGCAAGGGTTTCAAGGGTTAGAAGCTCACCCTTGAAGAACACCTTCAAAGCTACAACTCCAGCATTCTTTTTAAACCAAAACCAATCCAAAGACTCCAAAACCAACCTCAAAGAGCCTCAGCAACAAGAGTATGGTGTTTGAGTGTGTGTTTGTGTGTAATAGTATGTAAAAACTACACTTTCAAGCACAAATATAGAGCAAGCAAGAAGATATAGAGACAAGGATGTATGTATAGCTCAAGCCCAATTTTCTGAACCTAAGGCAAGAGAGGGAAGGTTCTCTTTTATAGAGAACCAAAGTTCAAGCTTGTTGAACAAGCTTAAGGTCTAAAGCTATCCCTCTATACACGTGTATGGAGGATGGCTTCTGTGCCCTCCAGCTATTACAGCTAGCTGCAAAAGATCTTCAAAAAGGTGTTGGAAAGCTGCCGACCACTTGAAGTGGTCGGCCAGCTACTTTCACTGGTCGACCGACCAGTGAAAGTGGTTGGCCAGGGAGGCAAGTGTTCGACCATGGGGGGAGATGGTCTGCAGCATGAAAGCAAGGCAGTGGTGTGGTGGTCGACCAGAAAAGGTGGTCCAAAGACCAAGAAAACCAGTTGGCCGACCAGAAAACTGGCTGGCGGGGAGGAAAAGTTGTTTGCAAGGGGAAGAATTGGTCTCCCGCCCTTATTCCACCCTCCAAGCAAGGAAAACAAGCTTTGTGCCAAAAACAAACCAAAAAGGATGCAAGACAAGAGTCCGGGAGGCAAGGAGCGCAGCCGGAAGCCTAAAAAACTAGTCTATGGGCACCAAAAGTGGTCTACGAGGGGAAATTGGTCTACGACCACAAAAGGTGGTCTCCCAGACCTTAGTGTTCCTCTAGACCAAGGCAACAAGGCATGGTTCAAAAACCTAGCCAAATGGAGAACGTTAAGCGGTCCCGAGATAAGATGCACGGCCGAAGACTCCGAAAACTGAAAACTAGTCTTCAAGCAGGAAAAGTGGTCTACGACCACAAACAAGTGGTCTCCCAGACCTCTCTCTCTCTCTCTCTCTCCAGGGAAGGGAAACAAGGCTTGGTCCACAAATCGAGCCAAAGCACAAAGAGTTAAGAGACCCGGAGGCAAGGCACTCAGTCGAAAACTCCGGAAACTCAAAACGAGCACAACATGCACAACCACCGAGCGCTCAATCGATGACGTCTGAGTCTTAAGGTCGGTAAAAAATGGGGTGTCTACAGGGTCGTGATAAGCTGCCATGGGCACCGTACGAGTGGAACATGAAGAAAAAAAAAGAGGTTTTCATTCTACTCCTTGGGCGCTCGAGCGGCCGGTGTTTCTGCTCGAGCGGTGAAGACTTCCGTACGTGCGGAACCCCTGTTTTTGCCTAACTTCAAAAAGGCATATCTTCCTTCATCGGGACTCTATTTTAAGCGATTCTTGAGCCTAAATTCAAGCCCTCGAAGTCTAGTTTCTAATAGTGGTAGTCTCACATTCAAATTATAAGTACACAAATAGATATGCTCAAATTAGTGAAGGCTATTTATGTTCTTTTAACCGTTTCATGCCATTTCCTACCTTAACTTAGTTTTCTTTCGCTTCTTGCTATTTCCTTAAATCTTAAATAAGTAAACATGATATGTTCAATGAAAAAAAACATATGAAATTATTGTAGGAAACATTAATTTAAGTCATGAACATTTAAGGCCATTTAAATTACATCTTTGGCACATGCTTTGTACGTGATTCACATGTGGAGGAGATTAGCATTGAACATGTGAGAGAAATTAAAGAAAAGCGTACGAATTGAAACAAATGATTTATAGAATGTTTATGTGACATGTTTTGTGTAGGTTGCGTGCCGGAGACAATGCTGCAAGACCAAACGCACGGTGAGTAGTAATATGGTACACTTATGCTCTTTGTTGCATATCTTGAACCATGAACGGTGATTGGTGCCAACATTATGAATTGATGGAGTTAGGGCCTGGGGCATGCCCTTTGTGTTTGTGATTATTTTCTGTTTTTATTTATGACTTATTCACCCAAAAAAAAATTAATAAATGGGAAATGATGAAACTTCATTGATATTATATGATATGTGCTAAATGATTGGGCCCAAGGCCGCTTGTTAAATGATTGGGCTTGAGGCCGTTTGTTAAATAATTGGGCCTGAGGCCACTTGTTAAATAATTGGGCCCGAGGCCGCTTGATAAATGATTGGGCCCGAGGCCGCTTGTTAAATGATTGGGCTTGAGGCCGCTTGTTAAATAATTAAGCCCAAGGCCATTTGTTATATGCTTGGGCCTAAGGCCGTTTGGTTTATATGATTATGGATATTGTGAGAACCTTATGATCATCTACTTGCACTGCTTTACTGTATTATTATTCATTGAGCTTCGCTCACCCAATTTTATGTATGCACATGTAGGTGATCAACAGCATGGAGCACACCTTAGGGTCAGCTTTAGGAGCCTTTTTGTGACCCAATCGAGTTGTGCCTCCAAGATGGAGTTTTGTCTTGACTCACACCACACTTTGACCTTATTATGCTTTTGCTTTCATGGTCTTGGGTTGTAAACACTATGTACAATTTCCCCATGGCTCTTATATTTTTGATAGGCATGTATATGTATTATTGTATTACGTAGTTAACTCCACGATTTTACTCATGATTGGTACAGCTCAATGGACTTCTCCTTATTATATGCTTTTGTTTATGGCCACATTAGCATAAATATTCTATATGATCATTTGAAGCCTTCGGTAATCTACGGATTGTTGGTCGGTTATGACCCAAACTTTTAGGGATGGGTGCGGGTCATGACACCTTGCTCGGGGGTAACAATACCGTGGTCTCATGGCCCTTGCCCTGGGTAAACAATATTGTGGTCTCATGGCCCTTGCCGGGGGTTAATAATACCGTGGCTCAAGTATATTACAAGTTCCCGGTACCGGAGGTTCCTTATGGAACTGACAAACATTATAATGCTAATGGATGTACCATATATAATGAAGCATGAACTCTGATTTCTGTATGTAGTTTGAATAAGAATATGAATATAAATCTGTTTCTGATATGAACTTTGATTTCTGAATCTGTTATGGACATCATTCATTTAAACCCTTTACTCTGTTATTATTCATTGGGCTTCTGCTCACTATTTATATTATGTATGTAGGTGAGTAGGCGCGTGACCAGGCCTAAGTTGCTGCCTAGAGTGTTTTTGGGTCAGTCAACCACTGTGCCTCCCGAGGAGGTTCTTTTTTGAGAAGTCAAGTTTTAGGAACCATTGTAGATGTTTTGTTGTTTGTTTTGCTTATCTGTATGCTGAGCTAACTCCCTCATGACATTATATGTACGGTGTTACAAGTCTTGTGGAAGTTTGGCATTATATAAGCTTAAAATTTCTTTTTTGTCTCATGTATGTCTACATCGCTCTATGGACCTTGTATTTTGTATAATTGCTTCTGCAGCCCCTTATATTTTGTTATTCTGTTAAGAGGCCTTTGGTAATTCCAGGATTACTAGCCGGTTACGTTGCTAAACCTATAAGGGTGGGTTTGGGTCATGACAGAGTGGTATCAGAACATGCGTTATACTGCACACACGAGTCCATATGAGGTCTAGGATGTCCTAGTAAGAGTTAGGGGCATTCCATCTGCATATGTGAGTGTGCATTAATTTCTGTACATGAGAAAACTACATCTAGATATGAACACATGAAATTGGAATGACTGAATTGGGATTGAATGTTTCGAACACTGTGAAAAGAACTATTTGCCTATGTTTATTGTTCTCCTATTTCCCTATAGTAATTGATAAAAAGTGATGATACAACAGGATCCTTTGAGGCTCAAATGAGCTGAATGGAACAAATACTCGCAGCCTTAACTGAAGCAATGACACAGCAGCAAAGACAACCATTGTTGCCTCCTCCACCCCCACCGGCCCAAGTTGAACCAGATAACAACGACATCATAAACTTAACTCAGAAATTCATGAAGATGAAACCGTCGACTTTCTTGGGTGGTATTGAACCCTTAAAGGCAGAGACATGGTTGCTTGAGATGGAGAAATTATTTGAGGTATTTCCTTGTTTTGAGACTCAGAAAGTTCTATTAGCCACCTACACCTTAAAAGACGAAGCCTAAAGATGGTGCTTGTTGATTCGAACTAATAATGGGAACATGGCATTGGTGCAATTCAATGACAACTTTTATGACAAGTACTTTCTTCTGTATCTTCAGGATTGGAAAGTTTCTGAATTCCAAGAATTAAAGCAAGACAAGATGTTCGTAGCCAAGTATAAGGATAAGTTTACTGAGTTGGCCAGATTTGCTCCTCATATGGTTGACACAGATTATAAGAAGGCTCAAAAATTTAAAGGGGGCTTAGACTTGGACGTATATGATCGAGTAGGCGTATTGAAATTGCCTACTTATGTGAAAGTACTTGATAGGGCATTGATGGCAGAGGCCATTCTAGCAGCAAAGAAACAGACTAATGCTTTAACAACTGAATGGAGAGGCAAAAGATCTGGATCCAATTTTCGGAAAGGGCCGTTCATTCTTTACAGGCAAAAGGCAAAATACTGGATCTTCAATTAGTTCAAGCCAAAGTAGTAGGTTTATGCTAGTTTGTCCAGAATGTGGAAGGAAGCATAATGACACATGTCACGTCCATCTGGAACTTGTTTTTGATGTGGCAAGACAGGCCATATGATTAGAGATTGTCTGATGAGAGTCGACGCAACTACTCGTCTTGCGACAAGTTCAGTCGGATCTGTTCCTGCACCAAGAACGAATGTGAGAGCCAATAGTGGGGGAGTAACTTTGAGACAAGACCGGGTTTTTGCATTAGTACCTGGTGATGTACAGAATACCAAATCAGTGGTGTCAGGTATAATCTCTATCTGTGCTCAGAATGCCTATGTGTTGATAAATTCTAGCTCCACGCATTCATTTATATCTCATGCTTTTTCTCAGAAATTGACTAAACCTTTAGAACCTATGAATTATTTACTGTCTGTTTCTACACTATCTGGGAGTTCTATGATATGTACTTTTGTTTATCCGGCATGTGAACTAGTAATTGGTAATGGACACTATATGTTGATTTATTGCCGTTGGGTTTTGATTATTTTGATGTCATACTGGGTATGGACTGGTTGACGAAGTACTATGCAATTATTGATTGTGTGAATAAATCCGCTGTGTTTCGTCCACCTGGTTTACCTGAATTTGTGTTTACTGGGAGTGGGGTAGTTCCTCCCCTATATTTGATTTCTGCCATGAAAATTGTTAACCTGCTTAGGAAGGGATGTAGAGGGTACATGTGTTGTATTTTGACTGTGACTTCTGATAGTCTTACTATAAAGAACATCTCGGTAGTAAATGAATTTCCCATTGTATTTCCAACCGAATTGCCCGGGGAGTTAATTGATAGAGAAATTGAGTTTACTATTAATGTTGTACCCGAAACACTACCAATTTTCAAAACCCCGTATAGAATGCAAACTTTTGAGTTGAAAGAATTAAAAAGCCAACTTCAAGACTTGTTAGACAAGAAGTTCATCTGACCGAGTACTTCACCTTGGGGTGCTCCAGTTTTATTTGTTAAAAAGAAATACAGATCTTTGAGGCTGTGTATGGACTATCGGGAGTTGAACAAAGTGACTATCAAGAATAAATACCCACTACCTTGAATAGATGACTTATTTGACCAACTACAGGGAGCCAAAGTCTTTTAAAACATTGACCTTAGATCTGGATATCACCAATTGAAGTTAAAGCCGAAGACATAGAGAAAACGGCCCTCTAGACTAGATATAGGCACTATGAGTTCTTGGTGATGCCGTTTGGGGTAACTAATGCACCTGCAGCTTTTATGAATCTAATGAACAGGGTGTTTAAACAATTTCTTGATGAATTTATCGTTGTGTTCATTGATGATATCCTGATTTATTCCAAAAGCAGGGAAGAACATGAACATCACCTGAGAATTGTTTGACAGATGTTGAGGGGAAAGAAGTTGTATGCAAAACTGTCCAAATATGAATTCTGGCTTGACAGCGTAGCATTTTTGGGACAAGAGATTGACAAGGATGGTATATCAGTGGACCCACAGAAAATTGAAGCCATTGTAGACTGGCCAAGGCCAACCAATGTATCTGAAGTTAGAAGTTTTCTAGGGCTTGCAAGCTATTATCGTAGATTTGTGAAAGATTTCTCCAAGTTTGCCTTGCCATTGACTCAACTGACTCAGAAAAATGTACCATTTGATTGGAATGATTAACAGGAGTTAGCCTTTCAAGACATAAAAACTAGACTAGTAACTACACAAATTCTGACCTTGCCTAATGGAACAGATGGGTTTCAGATTTACAGTGATGCTTCATACAAAGGTTTAGGATGTGTACTAATGCAAAATGATAAGGTGATTGCTTATGCTTCTCGGCAACTTCGACCACATGAAAAGAACTATCCGACATATGACCTTGAATTAGCAGCTATGGTGTTTGCTTTGAAAATTTGGCGACACTATTTGTATGGTGTGACTTGTGCAGTGTATACTGACCATAAAAGCTTGAAATACTTCTTTACCCAAAAGGAACTGAACATGAGACAGAGGCGATGGCTTGAATTGATCAAGGATAATGACTTGCAGATTTTGTACCATCCAGGGAAAGCTAATATAGTGGCGGATGTCTTGAGCTGAAAATCTACTGAAAATTTGTCTTGTTTGCTCACCAGTCAAAGAAAGTTATTATGTGACTTGGAAAAGAATGATATCGAAATTGTATTACGTGAATAGGGGGGGATCTTGGCCTCCATTTCTGCTCAACCTGTAATCATTGAAGAGATTAGAGAGAAACAACTGCAAGATGAATTTTTGAAAAAGATTATGGATGACATAGACTCAAAACCGAAGTCAGGATTTGTGCTAGAGAACAATGTGCTGAAATTCCAGAATAGACTTTGTGTTCCTGATTGTTTGGATTTAAGAAAATGTGTTATGACTGAAGTCCAGACCTCTAAATTTTCTTTGCATCCAGGTGTAGACACCCCAATTTTGACCGGCCCTAAGACTTGGGCACTTTCTTTTGATTACCCGATGATGACAATTAGAATATATTTCTCACAGAATCCTCAGTAAGAGAGATGTAATTTGAACTTTAATCCCAACCTTCACCATTATGGCCAAATTGTTTTAAAATACTGAATATTTCATTAGTTCAGTATTTTTGTAATTTTGCATAATTTTATGTATTTGTTCATATGTTTGGTGTGTTTATATAAATTGGTATAAATTATATATTTTATATATATAAAAAAAATAATAAAAAAAGTTATATTATTATATTATATGTTTAATATTATTATATTATATGTTTAGTATTTTATATATGGTTATATTATTATATTATATGTTTAGTATTTTGGTATAAATTATATATTTTATATATATAAAAAAAATAATAAAAAAAGTTATATTATTATATTATATGTTTAGTAAACATTAGGCATATATATATTTATATTATTATTATCTTTATATTATTATTATATTATATGCATATAGATGAGACATATATTATTATATTATTGTTATATTATATTTTGCTTATATAAGGACAAAGAGGGAGAGGCTCAGGAGAAGGCAAAAAATTTGATTCAAGAGAGAGTTAGAAAGAGTTAGAGAGAAAAGGGAGAAAACATTAAACATTTCAATCTTGAGCCAAAATACTTCCAAGCTTACATAACTACTGAAATTCCTCATTTCCATACACCAAAAACACTCCAAAAATTCTAATATAGCCAAAGATCAATTGCTTTGATCATAAGGAAGAGTGTTTAGTGATTGAAAGTGTGAAAAACTAGAGAGTTAGCCACTTTCCATACCATAAACTCCATAATTTCGAATTGAGGATTTGAGAACACACTTCCTATACTTGAGGGTGATCAAGAGAGAGTTTATGAACTAAGGAGTTCATCCTTTCCTTGGAAAATGAATTTCACAAACCTTTTATTTTCTTGTATTTCTTACTTATTTTGCTCTTTTGCTTTGATTTATTGTTATATTGTATATTGTTGTAATCTAATTGAAAGTGGTGAATTGATGTCCCATATATGTTGTTTTTAGCATGAAAAAGAGACCCTCCATGTTAAATGGTTTAATCTCTTCGGAGGTTCATTACCAGGGCATTACATCTCTCTTATGCCAAGAACAACTCCTTGTTTGACGCTTCTTTCCATTTAGAGGACTTAAACTCACCATTGGACTTAATGAATTAAAGAACGGATGGTAATTTAAAATTGAGTAACTAAAATTGAAGCTAAAATGGTGCAAGATAATAATTTGGTTGTTTTCAATCAGACGTTAATTGAACACATGGAAACTTGAGGCAGTTTATACTCATTAGTGATGAAATGATTCAAGTTTCCAAGGTCACCACTTCCCTTGATCAATTCATGAAAGGGAATAGCTTAGAATCATATTTTGTTGCATTTATTGGACTTGCACACTTTGATTCACAAGCCATCATGCAATGAAATTGCTTGAGTTAGTGGTTTGTGACTTAAGTTTACTTCTCCTTTGATTCGTTCATGAAAAAGAGGGGTGAGTTGTGCAGACAACCCTAGAGAATACCCTGTGCATGCTCTGTTTTGTCCTCTGTTGCAACAAGGTGAACTGGGCAGCAGTGGCCAGCAGTGGCCGATAGACCACCTTTGATGGCCGCCATCGCTCACCAGTGGCCGACCGGCCACTAATGCAAAATTCAGCAGTGTGTTCCTTTGGCGGAGTAGAGCCATTTTGGAAGTTGGCAACAGTGTATGTGTTCTATTGTGCAACAGAGGCTCTCTAGAAGCAAAACAGTGGCTTTTTAGGTGGAAATCGAGCATGCGCATAAACATCCCTCGCTTCCCGAAGTGGAATAATTAGTTGTTTAGCTTACTTCTTTTAATTATACTTGTGTTGTTGTCATTATTTAATTAGTTAAAGTAGTTAATTAGTTGTGAGTTAATTTATTCCATTTGGTTTGTAATAGTTAATTAATTAGTTTAGTTTAAATAGTTAGCTAGTTAGTTTATTCATTCAGACTCTCCTTCGTGTGAGCATAATGTTGTAATAATGTGTATGTCTTCCAACCACACGTCTTTCTCCCTTTTATTTAACTGCTTATGATGGTTAGTATAGGGACATCACGTTTAAATTAGCATTCTTCATGTTTTCATGCACTCGTATTGCATGCACCGAGGCTCGGTTCATCATTCCAATTGCATTGTTAGTTTAATACTTATTTAAATACGTTCTTAAACCACATGCTATCAATTGATTCATATGTCATGTTAAGTAGCCGAGCCTATTTTAGATTGCATATCGTATGTGTTGCATTAGTCATGTTGCATAGTTAGAAATCATGTATTTTTTCTAACTCTCTTATGTCTTTTTGGCTTATAGTACGAGGTGAGCCTTTACTTGCTTTAGCATATTGGATGAGTGTGATTGTTGTCATGTCTAGCATGCTTATCATGAGGCTAAGTTCTTAATTGATATACCTATGTAGACACCCCATTTTTGACCGACCTTAAGACTCAGACGTCATCGTCTGTGCACTCGATGATTGTGCATGTTTGTGCTAGTTTGGGTGCCCGAAGGTCTCGGCTGAGCGCCTTGTCTTTGAGCTTTTACACCCTCTGTTGTTTGGCCTTTTTTTTGGGCCAAACCTTGGTGCCTCTTGGCTGAAGGAGAGTGGGGCTTTGCCGGCCACTTTTGGCATTTGCTAGCCACTTTTTCTCCTTGCCAGCTACGTGGAGTGGTCGGTCATCTAGTTGAAGTGGCCGGTCGGCCACTTGAACTGGCTGGTCGGCCACTTGAACTGGCTGACAGCCAATTTTCTCCTTTTTCTGATATTTTCAGATCTTTTGAGCCAGCTATTAGGCATTGAGGCTATCCTCCATACGCGTGTATAGAGGGATGGAGACAAGCTTTAAGCTATTCAAGCAAGCTTTTGCTTGCATTGCCTATATAAGGGGAGGTCCTTCCCCCTTGTTTGAGGTTTAGAAATTTTGGAAGCAAATTTTGACTCTCTCTCTAGAATTCTCTCTCTCTCTCTCTCTCTCTCTATATATATATATATTATACTCTATAGTGCTTGAAAGTGAGTATTCTTGACATATTTGCACACAACCCTCTTAGCCAAACATCTTGACCTTGGAGTTGAGATTCCTTAAGACTTGTTTGGGCCTCCTAAAGCTGGTTTTTGACTCAGAAGTTGTCTTCTTGCTGCTGTGCTTCAAGGGTGAGCATATTCCCCTTTTAAGCTTATTTTGGTATACCATCTTAGCCACCTTTGCATGCTGTTTTAGGCTTGGTTGTTAACTACAAAAAGCTCTATTTTTAAGTGTTAAAAATGTTGGTTTGAGTCCTTGTTGGGGTTAGGGGTGGTCTACCCTCTTTGGTTGTTTATTTGCTAAGCTTTTGTACCACTTTTTAAGGCTATTCAAACTATCTCTTTTTGGCCTTTTGACCACTGAATTCCAGAGGAATTTCAGTGGTGGAAATATGGTTTTGAAGTCCTAAATAGGAGGGGGTGGTCCCCTTTCTTCTTGTCTTGTTTGCATGTGTTGATGGTCCACTAAATGAGCATGTGTTTCTACTTCTTTGTGGCTTTGTTCAAGCATATTTTTGTGACTTTTTAGACCTACCATAACTCTGTTTTTGGCTTGTTTGATCATTGGTTGCTTGCTCTTTACACTTGTACTGTAATCTTGCTCACTAGCCTTGCATGCCTAATGAGTTAGCTTGTTATTCTAGCATGTGTTGGCTTAATCTCAGCTCATTTTTGGTCTTATGTCAGCATGTTGTAACTTTATTTTGGCCTGGTTGAGTCACCTCTTGCATGCTCTTTACACTTGTAGTGTAACCTTGCTCACTAGCTTTGCATGCTTGCTACTTTAGCCCATTATTCTAGCTTATTTTGGCTACACTCTAGCATGTTTTCGCTCATATTTTAGCATGTTTGAACTCTGTTTTGAGTGGTCTTGGCCCTTTGAGGCTTGCTTTGTATGGCCATAGCATGATAGGCTTTGATAGCTTTGTGTTTTGAGTCCTCTAGCATGCTTTGCTTGGGTTGGTTGCATGATTTGGCATCATTTAATATGTGATTTCAGAGCATATATCACTGTCATACTCTCATATGTATCACTCTTTCAATGCTTTTGAGAAGTTGAGCCTCATGCCTTGTTTGTAAGCCAATTCATGAGCTTATTTTTCTTGCCATCTATGTTGCA